CTCTACTCCTGCTGGGATGCAGTTCCCTTGGGCAAATGGTATTCCCAGGGCTGGGACGCAGTATCCCTGAGCAGCTGACACCCAAGATCAGATGCACTAAGACTGTCTCCTACCTCCATTTGCAAAATCCTCTACGAAAAGGTAGAGTCGGTAAGGTGGAAAGACAGAGCGAGCTGCCTCTCCGGGAGCACAAGCCAGCTGCGCCCTGGCACCCACCTGTGCCGTGTGTCCCATCAAGCTCCCGTAAGAGGGCTGTGTACAACCTGCCCTCTTACCCCAGCACAGCCTGCTCTGCACCTGCTCCGAGATCTTGCTACTTGAAAGAGATTTGGCAGGAAGACGGGATCCTGGGTTTCCCCGATCTGCCTATTTCTTTGTCCTAAATAGTAATTCTGAACCCCGGGGTCTTCAGGCATAAAGGGAGCTCTCAGGCTGGGACAATGCAGTGCATCTTAGAGGGAGCCACCACAAACTCTGGAGCCTTGGTGCCATGTGACATCCAAGGACATTTGTGTAACTCAGCAGAGTAAATGGGGACAAGGAGGATTAAATTACTATCTGAGGTCACCTTTCCCATCAGCAAGATGGTAGAACTGGGACTCTCGGGGTCCAGTTTAAGTTGATTTAAAGAAACTTGAGAATCGCAATACGTATTGCATGCTGCCGTTGTGAACCACCGCTCACAGCTGCTGCACATCTGGCCCTCCTCTCTTCCTCTCCTTCCACTTTCGGTCCTGCATGAAAAGACCGCCTCGCTGGTCTCCCCACATCCTCCTGCTCTCCTTCAGCCTACTCTGCATGTGGCAGCCACAGTGACATTTGTAAAATGCATATCTGGTCATTCTTCTCCATTGATAAGACCCTAGGAGGACCACTACTGCCGCTCAGCACCCCACCCCCACCACCGCGGCTCTCGGCCCCCCACCCCACCCCATCCTCCTCGGCGCCAGGCTCCAGCTGTCTCCATCATCACCAGCTCTCACTGAGCTCTCAGGGTAGGTCTGAAACTCTTCCATGGATTGTATGACCTGGTTTAGTCTCAACCCCTTGGGAGGTATCTTCACAGAGGCACAGTGATGTTACGTGATTTGGCTAGGGTTGCCAAGCCAGGGACCCAAACCCGGTCCCAGCCCATCTCTTCTATCTCAATAAATATCGGCTGCCCAGCGTGTCAAGACAGATGCCCAGGAAGGTGTCCCAGGAGCCACCTTCCATCATCTTCCCCTCATCACCCCCTACATCCACTGCAGCAGCCAGGCCTATGGATATTCCTTCACCTCCCTACAGTGGACACATTCCTCCCTCCCACTGATGTCATGCCTGCCCAGTCACCACCACCCACCACTGGAACAACTCCAGCAGCTTCCTCACTGGCTGGCCTGCTCTAATCATGCCCTCTGTGTGTCTCTCTTTTTTTCTGCTCCGTTCCTCCCTCCTCCCTTCCCTCCTCCCTTCCCTCCTCCCTTCCTTCCCTCTTCCCTTCCTCTCTTCCTTCCTTCCCTCCCTCCTCCCCTTCCTTTCTTCCCTCCTCCCTTCCTTCCTTCCTTTCTTCCTTCCTTCCTCCCTCCCTTCCTTCCTTCCTTTCCTCCTTCCCGCCTTTTTTGCTTCAGAGAATCTCTAAAGGAAATATCATACCCTAAATATAGTTGAAACCCCCTTCCCCTACAAAAAGCATGCATATGATTATATCTGTATAATCTCTAAGTTAGATATGACATTTATGCATTTCTATAAATTTTCTAAAGGTATTTTGTGCCTTTGCCATATATGCCCACATCCCCCACAGCGCTTCTCTGATTCTCCATCAAATGCCTAAATGTTTCCAAACTTTACATGAATTATATCATGAGTATATGATGTGCGTGCATGTGTGTGTGTGAAGAGAGGGAAATTTTCCAAAACACATTCAACAAGAGTAAGAAAAGGCAAATCAGACAGAATTTGAGGTAAACAATATTCAACAGAAGATAGTTTTCCAAAATTAAGGATAGATGTGATTCTTAGAGTGAAAGTATCTCCTAAAGAAACAAGCAGCATAAACAAGAGTAAGCCTACCCCCTCCACCCCACAGTCACCACGGGGCGCCAGGGCCAGGGAGAAAGACCGGAAGGTCATCTGCAGGGAACTGACTAACCACGAACGGGTGACGGTTGACTGGGTGGCAAACAGACTTCCCAACCATAAGCGGCACGATAGTATATTCAGAGGCCCAGAATAAAATGCAAAGCCAACTTGGAATTCCGTGGCCAATTAAGCTTTTTGGACGTAAAAAGTTTGTTGCCCACATGTAAAAAAAGAAAAATCTGTGCCAAGAAACAACTCAAAATACACACACAAATGAACCCAAAGGGAAATAGAGAAAAGAAAGACAACAATTGATAGACTGTTTTATTTATCATGGACAGTTTCCAAAAAAAAAAAAAAAAAATCTGTTTTCCCTAAATTATGAGGATCGAACTGAGATGAAGAAAAAAGGAAGGGTGTTCTCTAAAGAGTTAAAGCATATTGGGTCTTACCTTAAGACCTTAAGAAAAGGAAACAAAAGACCAGGCACAGTGGCTCAAGCCTGTAATCCTAGCAATTTGGGAGGCCCAGGTAGGTAGATCACAAGGTCAAGAGATCGAGACCATCCTGGCCAATATGGCAAAACCCTGTCTCTACTAAAAACACAAAAATTAGCCAGGTGTGGTGGTGCACGCCTGTAGTCTCAGCTACTCGGGAGGCTGAAGCAGGAGAATCACTGGAATCCGGGAGGTGGAGGTTGCAGCGAGCTGAGATCACACCACAGCACTCCAGCCTGGCAACAGAGCGAGACTCCATCTCAAAAAACAGAAAAAGGAAACAGACACACAAAATACCTTTAACAGATTTATAGATATGCATATATTATACCTAATTTAGAGATTACATCTATACATATAGAATCATGTAGATGATTAAAAATCTAAGAGTACGAACACACTTTGTTATTGCTTTTAGAAAACCTGAGATCACAGCAAACTGTTCTTCAACTTAACTTTTCCCCTCGATTCATGTTGTCATCCCTCCAGGTCATGTTCCGGTGCTCACACACCTGCCCCTTGTTCAAGAACAGGTGATTCTCTTCCCAGTATTCACTACTGCAAACCATGCTTTAGAGAAAGCCCTTGTATGCAGTTTGTGCATTTTAGAGCCAGATTCCAACCACATTCCCAGCAAGGTTTGCTCAAGGAAAAACAAATAGCTGGTGAGCATATCCACATAAAACTCAGAAGGTTCTATATAGGAATTCAGACTGCCACCTGCCCTGGCAAAGCTGGGATGTGCTCAGCAGCACTGCAGCCCTGGCGTTCCCCGAGCGCCACCCACAGTGGGCTGACAGCAGCTAGCTGGACCCGCACACTCTGGTCTGCCTCAAGCCATTTCTTCACTGATTTCTCACTGGCCAGACCCAGTAGGCATTTAAGTGTGCCAATGCCTTGAGGTTAATTACATTCATAACTAATTTTTTTATTTCTTTTTTTTTTTCTTTTTTGAGACAGTCTCACTTTGTTGCCCAGGCTAGAGTACAGTGATGGGATCTCAACTCATTGCAGCCTCCACCTCCCAGGTTCAGGCGATTCTCGTGCCTGAGCAACTCAGGTAGCTGGGATTACAGGCACAAACCACCACGCCTGGCTAATTTTTGTATTTTTAGTAGAGACAGAGTTGCACCATGTTGGCCAGGTGGCCTCAAACTCCCGACCTCAGGTGATTCCGCCTCAGCCTCCCAAAGTGCTGGGATTACAGGTGTGAGCCACTGTGCCCAGCCCTTTTAAAACTTTTATAGATTCCCAAGATACACATCCAGGTTTATTGCACGAATATATTGCACAAGGATGAGGTTCAGGCTTCTGGTATGCCTTGATATCACCCAACTAGTGAACGTTGTACCCAGTAGGTAATTTTCAGCCCTCACCCCTCCCACCCCGGCTTTTGGAGTCTCTAGAGTCTCTTACTTCTTCTGCGTGTCCGTGTGTACTCATTGATTTGTTCCTGCAGATAAGTGAGAACATGCAGTGTTTGATTTTCTGTTTCTGAGTTACTTCCCTTGGGATTTTATCTGAGTATTTTCAAGCCTGGTCTTTGGAAGTCATTAGCATAAAACTGTGTAATAACATTCTCTCTCTCTCTCTCTCTCTCTCTCTCTCTCTCTCTCTCTCTCTCTCTCTCCTGTGGGAGGGAGTTCTCCAACTTGTTGGTCTTTGTGAATGTCCTCATTCCGGAATGACTGTGTTCCTTCCTGCTCCTGTGTCCTGTGGAAGTGGACGGCCCCACATTTTTCCTTCAGGACCAAGAGACCTACTTCACGTTTTTTTTTTTTTTTTTTTTTTTTGGCAATCACTGAGCACTTTTTTAACCTTTTTCTGATGGGGAGTCAAACTGTTTAATTATTTGAGTAGGTCATACATTCACTTAGGTAAAATTTATTAGACAACGTTATTATGAAATTATAAAAAGTTATTCACATAACTTTCTTTCCCCCATTCTTTCTAACATATATCTAAGTCCTCCTCCCCAATACATGCATGGGTACTAGATTCTGGTGTATCCTTCCAGAGATTTTTTTTTTAATGATTTTCTAATTTTTAATTATTTTTTAATTTCAATACAAGTGGTTTTGGTCACATGGATGAATTGTACAGCGGTGAAGCCTGAGATTTTAGTGCACCCATCACCTGAGTAGTGTACACTGCATCCAATAGGTAGTTTTTATCCCTCACCCCCTCCCACCCATCCCCTTCTCCATTATGCCATTCCGTATCACTTTGCGTACCTATGGCTTAGCTCCCACTTACAAATGAGAACACACAGTATTTGGTTGTCCATTTCTGAGTTACTTCACTCAGAATAATGGCCTCCAGCTCCACATGAGTTGCTGCAAAAGACATTACTTTGTTCTTTTTAATGGCTCAGTAGTATTCCATGGTGTATATGTACCATAGTTTTTTTTTTTTTTAATAATTTTTTTTTTTTTAAAAAGGCTGCAGCACTCGGTGTTCCCAGGTGGTCTCCCATCCAAGTACTAACCACATCCGACCCTGCTTAGCTTCCGAGATCAGATGAGATCGGGCGCGTTCAGGGTGGTATGGCCGAAGACATGTTTTGTTTTGTTTTGTTTTTTATCCATTCATTAGTCTACGGGCACTTAACTTGCTTTCATACCTTTGCGATTATGAATTGGGCTGCGATAAACATATACGTGCATGGTCTACGGCCATACCACCCTGAACGCGCCCGATCTCGTCTGATCTCGGAAGCTAAGCAGGGTCGGGCCTGGTTAGTACTTGGATGGGAAACATATACGTGCATGTGCCATTTTGATATAATGACTTATTTTGGGGGGGGGGGCATAGATACCTGGTAGTGGGATTGCTGTATCAAATGGTAGATCTACTTTCAGTTATTTAAGAAATCTCCGTACTGTTTTTCATAGAGGTTGAACTAATTTACATTCCCCCCAGCAGTGTATGTCCCATGTACCACGTCCACTCCAACACTTACTGCTTTTCGACTTTTTAATAATGACCATTCTTGCAGGAGTAAGACAGTGTCTCATTGCGGTTTTAATTTGCATTTCCCTGATGATTAGTGATGTTGAGCGTTTTTTCACGTTTGTTGGTCATTTGTACATCTTCGTTTGAGAAACGTCCGTTCATGTCATTTGCCCACTTTTTGACGGAATTCTTTGTTTTTTTCTTGCTAATTCATTTGAACTCCTTGTAGATTCTAGATATTAGCCTCTCAGGGAACTTTTAATACACATATATAGAAAAGCAAGGTGCATTCTTTGCCCCACCTTTAATTCAAATGGCAGCATGTTCTATTATTTTCATGTTTACTTAAAATCGACATATTGAAGAACTTCTCATGTGGCTACATGGAGAGATGTCTCATTGGTTTTCATACAGCGCTAGAAGATTCCATTGCATGGATGTTCAAGTTTATTCAACCCCATCCCATTGGCAAACTCTTCGGTTGTTTCCAGGTGTTTGCTATTACAAACATTGCTACAGTAAATAACCTTGAACACGCTGACCAGTCTAGACAGCTCATCAACCAGCAGATCCTCCTGCATAATCTAAACAAGCACAAATTCCCTGTCCCTGTACAACAAATAGACTCCATCTTCTCTATGGAGCATCTGCTTCTCCCCATTCACAGAAACACCACCACAAAATACCTCAATGCTGGAAGTCTAAGCAACGTGGAGACCTATTGATTTTTATGCTCTCCAATGACTCCTGCAGATTAAAGAAAGAAAGATGATTTTCTCTCCATCTCTCCCAGTGCAATGTTATAAAATGTGTGTCTGGGAGAGCATGGCAAATTAGATGATGGGTTTTTTTCAATGTTGGTTGTCCTTTGAATTATTAGCAGCATGAATATAGGACAATATGCACATAATTAGCAAGCTTTCCGAATTTATTATATATGCTTATTCTTGTTCCTTTTAATTACCCAGCAGCCTAGTTGAAGGTAGTGTGGTGATTCAAATGATGGTTAAATGTGTCAGATGGTGACAAAATGCACTAACCTGCCAGTGTGAAGAGAAGCAAAGTCTAGAAATGCCATGGGATGGTTTTCATCCTATTAAATGCATAAAAGTTTCTTAATGTATTATTCATGTTATAACCATGGCACAAACAAAACATGATTTATTGAGTATTTTAATACAGCCTGCTAATGTTATGCAATAAAGTATATTTTAATATTTAATATAATCTGTGAATTTCAAACTTGTTTCAGGGAAGATCTTGTGGTTTTAAACTAAACTAAATACAGTAGGTGACAAATGAGGTCCCAAGAGCATCCCTAAAGGCTGATTGGGTCTGTTCAGAGTGACTAGAATTCAGAAGCTGGTTTTGGGCCACGTGCAGTGGCTCATGCCTGTAATCCTAGCACTGTGGGGGGCCGAGGCAGGTGGATTACCCGAGGTCAGGAGTTCGAGACCAGCCTGACCAACATAACAGAATCCTGTCTCTACTAAAATTACAAAATTAGCCAGGCGTGGTTGAATCATGCCTATAATACCAGCTATTCAGGAGAATGAGGCAGGAAAATTGCTTGAGCTTGGGAGGTGAAAGTTGCAGTGAGCCAAGATCATGCTGTTGCGCTCCAGCCTGGGCATCTCAAAAAAAAGAAAAAAAAAAAGCTTGGTCAGAAGCTGGTTTTGGTTTGGTGTTGAGATTGCTATGGAGTAGGGGGGTAATGTGGCTGGCCATTGCCATGTGAGCAGACGAGCTTCCTTAATCAGCTCACTTCTCAAGCAATGGCCACATTACCCCCATCCACAGCAATCTCAGCACCAAAACCAAAACCAGCTCGTGACCTTTTTATTATTGAGACACCCAGGCTGGAGTGCAATGACATGATCTCAGCTCACTGCAACTTCCACCTCCCAAGTCCTGAGTAGCTGGGATTATAGGCATGAGCCACCACGCCTGCCAGGGAAATGAAAGAATATTTGAGCCAAAAGGGACCTCAGAGAGGAACTTGCCTAATCCTGGCCTGCAGGATGAAGAAGGGAAGACACTTGTCCAAGGTGACATGATCATTTGCTTGCAGAACCCCTAACTCAAACCTAGGTGGACGCATCTAACAGCAAAGTTCAAAACAAAGAAGGCGCACATCTGAGCACACCTGGGTTGCTAAGACCCAGGCTGGGGACCACCACGGCCCCCTTCGCTCCACACTGGCTTGAGCTGGTCCTACTTTACCTGTTACTTTCCCCAGGAAAGAACCCACAGGCAGCCAAGAAGCTCAGTCTGAATCTCTCAGGGACCAGCTGCATTTTGTGGAAGCCAATAGGTATAATTTAGAAAACTGCCAACTATTATCCATCAGCTCTAGGAATGGGAGGCCAAGTTAACTCTCAAGTTAAACCTCCATTTAAGTCAAAGTTTACAACTTAGCCCAAGGCACGCGAAGAATCTTCTCCCCCAAGGACTATAGCTTGTATATCAACCAAAAATATATTTTAGGTTACAGGATGGAAAACTACTTCACATGTATACCTGTGCACACATTTCTGCACACCAATCAACAAAAGCAATGCATTCGTCCTGAATAATCACAAATAATTAAAAATATAGATTTTTCTCTGCATCTTCTGAGGCTAGAGCAGCGAGGATCTTCTGCAAAGTTAATCACCCATGTTAACCCTTGTGACTGCTTTGGAATGCATCAATCTCATTTCAGGCCCCTCCACAGGAGGGCAAGCTTCACGTGGACCTCGATATCTTTTTGGTTTGCCTACAAACACAATTTTGCAAATATTATTTTTATTGTTTGAATTAAGAAAACACTGGGTTTTCTTTAATAAGAAACAGAGTTGTGTTATAATATTAAATATGCTTTTACAAACTTCTTCGAGGATTTCTGTGTCACTTAACTTCAGAAAGAAAAAAAAAAAAGACATTCCCAGATGTGTTTGGTGGTAAACCAGCTTCCAAATGGTGAAGCGAAATAGCCTGAAATTAGGAAAGTTAAAAATGTAAAGTTTTAAATTAAAAACATTAATAAAGACACCACTGAGAAAATGAAAAGACAACCCACAGAATGGGAGAAAATATTTGCAAATCATGTATCTGACAGGGGACTCATATCCAGAATATATAAAGAATTTCTACAACTCAATAACGTTAATAAAAACACAAGCAATCCAATTTAAAAATGGAAGAAATATTTGTATACATATTTCTTCAAAGAAATTTAATGATAAACACACAGAAAGGTGCTCTATATAATTCTTCATCAGGGAAATAAAAAACAAAAGAGTCCACAATGAGAGTCCATTTCACATCCACTAGGATGGCTAAAATTAAAAAGACAGATCATAGCAAGTGTTGGTGAACATGTGAGGAAGGGAGAACCCTCATACACTGCCAGTAGAAATGAAAAATGGTATCACCACTTTGGATAACAGAAGATCCTCAAAAAGTTAAACGTTGATTTATCTTTAAATAAATATAGAGTGCCTCAAAAAGGGGATTGATGTGACTTAGCGATTCCACTCTGAGGTACGCACTCAAGAGAATTAATAACGTGCATCCACACAAAGACATGTATGCGAATATTCACAGCAGCATCATTTGTAGTCACCAAAAAGTAGAAAGAACTCAAATGCCCGTGAACTGATGAAAGGATGAATACACTATGTACATCCGTGCAATAGATTCAGCCATAGAAAGGAACAAAGCACGAATACGTATTACAACATAAATGAACTTCAAAAGCATTAAGTTAAGTGAAAGAAGGAAGATGCAATAGGCCACACAGTTTGTGATGCAATTTGTAGGAAATGTCCAGAAAAGGCAAATCCATAGAGACAGAAAGCAGATGAGTAGGAGAGGAGAGAACGATTGCTAATGGATATGGTGTTTCTTTCGGGAGTGATTACATGTTCTGGAATCAAATAGTGGTAAGAGAGGTGAAATCTTGGGATTATACTAAAAACTACTGAACTGTACACTTTGTAAGAGTGACTTTTGTGGCATATGAATTATAACTCAACAACAACAAAAAATTACCTTCAAAAGAAGGGGAAGAACAAAAAGGAGAATAAGAAAAAAAAAAGAAGAGCGAGGGAGAGAGAAAGGAAGAAAAAGAAGAGAAGAGGAAGCAGAAACAATGCTCCTGTTAGTTTGCATTTCAGAGGGAGGTGCTGACGCCAGCATGTTCCAGTGGGTCTTGCAGAGCTGGAGCCTGAGGCTTCATGCGCACACCCCACAAAAGCCAGCTTCCGCTGTAGAAGGAGGGTCAAGAGCTGCCCACTGGGTCTCTGCAGGGTCCTACAATGTTGGGTGACAAGCACTTCTCTGATCACCCGCTCCGGGCAGGGCCACTCCACTAGGGGACACCAGATGCCACCAGGACAGTGCGGCAACTCTCCAGCCCCTCTCCACACCCTGCCTGGATGAACGGGTTTTCTGCCAGGGGACTTTGCCCACCTCCTGTCTTCCCTTTTGTTTGCCCAAATTGCACTTTCTCCAGGAAGCCTTATTACCCCCATCTAACTTATATTTGCTTTAAAATTCCATGTTTTCCAATGCGCACTCCTGTAAGTATTTCTCAGAAAGGGGACCCCATGTCGGACTG